TTTTTTTTTTTTCAAATAATGTTTTGCCCAAGGAACGCTTCATTATGAGAAAAGAGTCACAAAAGAACATAAAACATCAACTGTCTTCACTATTCATAATCTATTTCTGACAGGTGACTAGATCGACAGAAGTTGCATATAGAGGTTATGTTTTGCAACGTGTAGGCCACTTGCCAAGTCGCTTTGAACATCAGTCAGTACCAAACAATCTGATTCACAAAATAAAATACCCTTTTATAAATACAGTGGCAGTTGTATTTACTAAACTTATAACTATTAACTTGTTGAGTACGACTTGTTGTGTTTGGTTGTGGTTAGTAACGGTAGTCTCGCCACTCCACTCCAACTACATTTAGTCCAGTATCCGCCTGGCAATGCTTTTGTCACGGTTTCGGGAATGTTCTCTCAAGCCACATTACAAAGACGCTGGCTACGGATCAAGGCAGTGCTGCTACCTTTAGGTTTTTCAGTGGACTACATCCACTTTCAGGGCAACGCAGCACAATCACCGCTGCTCTTTTGTTATTCGTCAGACTGAAATATTTGATTGCCAATTGCGTTATCTGATTCGGTGGCGCGCCGGGCCTTTGCCTGAACCTCGCCGCCATTGGCGAGTGCCTGTTTGAATGTATGCCGCACTCAACGTTTTATTAAAATTCTGTAATACTATATTTATTGTTAATTTTGTTAGGCATATGTATGAAGGTAGGTCCCCCGTGCGGTACCGGGTTAGAATAGGACCGCAGCCTCCCTCGGCTTGTCGTAAAAGGCGACTAACAGGGGGTGGGAGATCCTTCTCTTTATGCTCCCAACTTTCTCTGAGGCCAAGTTTGCTTCTTACCTTTGGCTTGTACCTCGAAATCTTTCATCTTTCCTTTTTACACTTCTTTTTTTTCAACCCCGGTTTGGGTGTTTTCCTTTCTTCTTTTTCGACCGGCGTGCACTATTGAGCCTTGGGAGTGCCCTTTCTGTGCAAAAGGGCTGTTTTGTGCCTCGCACTGCCGATGGGACCTCTCTGGTGTGTCGTCAGGAACCAGCCCCTTCGGGCCCTAGTCAGGGAGTGCGGCATGGGTGCAGAGGTCGGGCTCTGCACTGCCACGGGCGACCCCTGGTACGTCAGGATTCTCGGTACTAGGCAAACGGAGACCGGGCCCCAGGGAACTGGGGTAGGGGCTACGTCCCCGAGGGTATACCCGTTCCTGGTTATTCCGGGCCGTCCCTTGCCGCACGATGCGCTGGCAAACATTTTTATGGCTTTTTCAACCCCAGGTAGCATGGAGGGCTTGCTTGGCAAGCAGTCAGAGGAGAATGCGTTTAAGAGGGGAGGGTGTGTTTCAAGGTCACCCCCTCTGACGGCAGAAAATATATCGTTGGCACCTTCGCTGGTAAAGGGAGCGACTGTCTCCCCTCCACCGGTGCCAGCTTTCAAGTCTGGTGAAGGGCTGTTGGAGGAACACCTTACAACAACGTTGCAGTCGGAGAGCTCAGGGAGGGTGCTTCTGCGTCAGAAATACCTTGACGCAGAGAGTAGCAACGAAACCCGGCTTCGAGACATGGAGGAGACCATTAAAGCTATGCTGGACACCTTTCGGACCCAGAAAGCTGTTAACCAAGTGGTCAAAAATGGCATGGCCAAGCTAGAAGATGACCTTGGATTCGTTTTTGCCTGCCGGTTGGTAAGCAAGGCGGCCATGGAAAAGATTGCGGAGAAGGTAGTGTCTATGCCCGACGACAGGGCGCTGCCTTCCAAGAAACGCAGAAGGCCATCCACTACGGAAAGCCCTCCAAAAAAAGGAAGAGGCTGTTCAGACCACGAGGGCTAAGGTTAAGGCTAAGGCGACCCAGACAGACCTTTTGTCTGCCGGGCCCAGGTCTTCCCCAGATGTAGCTGCTTTCCCAACAAAGCGTCTACAACCTCAGCAACCCGTGACCCCTCTTAGGGGAAGCTCCCGTAAGGGATCAGTTGTTGAGACACCATCTGGGGCTGCATGGGAAAAGCGTCTTACCCGAAAGGAGAAGAGGCAGCAGAGGCGGGCGGAGGTCACCTCCAAGAAAAATGTGGCGGTAAAGGCACAAACGACAAACGTTGCCCAAATTGGGCCCGGTTTGGCCCCCGCTCTTAAAAGGTCGCGGCCAAAAAAGCCCAGGACGGAGGCAATCTTGGTTAAACCCTCAGGGGGGAGATCATTCGCTGAAGTCTTGGGTATAATAAAGGCTAAAGCTAAGCCGGAGCAGACCGATACGGTTGTGCGGTCGATTAGGCAAACCCGGGGCGGAGACGTCCTCCTTGAAATGGGTAAGTCAAAGGACAAATCCGCTTTTGCTGCTGAACTAAAGGCAGCCGTGGAAGGCCAGGGCACCGTCCGTGCACTCGAGCCTAAAACGTCAGTTGAGGTTCGGGACATAGATGGTGTGTCGACAGAGAGTGAGGTGGTTGAGGCCCTAAAGGAAGCAGTCCCCGGGCTTGCCGGAACATCGGCTGTTCTTAGGGTGTGGCTCACAAAACCAAATAGAAACCAGCAGCGGATGGCGGTCGCCGAAATGGCAGACGCACACGCTAGTAAGGTGTTGGCACTCCAGCATTTGAGGGTCGGTTGGGTCAACTGCAGGCTCAGACGGAGGGTGGAAGTAACCAGGTGTTTTAGGTGCCTCGGTTTCGGTCATTCCTCCCGAAATTGCAAGGGGCCCGACCGAGGCAAGCACTGCCTCCGGTGCGGAGGGGTGGGTCACGCTCGTAGGGACTGCCAAGTCGAATCTTGCTTTCTTAGTAAGGAAAATGGGCTCGCGGACAAAAACACCAAACATATAGCTGGGTCTGGGCAGTGCAGCGCTTTTAAAACTGCGCTTCAGCAAGCAAAAGCCCACCCTCGAAAATAAGAATACTCCAATGTAATCTTGGGCGATCCAGGACAGCTGACGCGCTTCTCAGTCAGCTTGCCCTCGAACACGGTGTCGACGCGCTCTTGGTCAGCGAGCAGTACCAGTACCGGAATAGGGTCCCACCCTTTTGGTTCCCCGATAGTCTTGGTACTGCTGCTTTCTGGGTGCGTAATACAGCTCAAGTGCAAGTGCGGGGAAATGGAAAGGGCCGTGGATTTGTTTGGGTTCGGTGCAAGGACGTCACCTATTACAGTGTCTACCTCACCCCTAACGAGGCTATCCATGACTTCCGCGAGAAGATAGACCGCTTGGAAGAGAGCGTGCAGGACACCACAGGGCATGTAGTCGTGGCTGGTGATTTCAATGCTAGGGCCGTCGAGTGGGGACTGACCCTCACTAATTCCCGGGGGAAGTACATCCTGGACTTTGCTGCCAGGGCCGGACTCGTTGTAATCAACGAGGGCAACACGCCAACGTTCCGGCGACCCGGGATTAGATTTAGATTTAGATTTAGATTTAGATTTGTTGTCATGAGAGCCGAAGCCCCCTGACTGCTTACCCGGTACCTATCCTTCAGGACATACCCGGGCCCCATGATGTAGGCCGAAGCTTACGCATCAACCTTTAGCACATCATGGGCGGATGACTTAAGGTCATCAGGCTCGCCGGCTGCCGAAGCAGACCCTTCGGAAAGAGGGTTGCCCCTCAATCCTAACCAGGGATTCCGGCTGCTTGTTTAAGCGTCACTCCACCTGGGTTCCACTAGGTCGGAACCTAGAGGTCCATAGTAGAGCGCCCCGACGCATTTAGTGCAAGCAACACTCGGGACCTATCTCATCCCTGACAGGCAGAACCCGCCATCAATAGCCAGGAGGAAGGGGACCATCAGCACGCTGACGGGGGGAACCCCAACCTCCCATTTACACCGCTGCCCGATCGAGGCCTGACCCATTGCTGGGAACCAGAGATATCCAGAGCGATAGAGCGATATGACGAAATTTCGGGTTGAGAGACAAAATTGAGATTTTAAAGTACGTGTTTGTCGTCTCACCTGAAATTCTGTCACACCTTAAATGTGTCCAGATAGCTTAGCCTACAATGAGATAGTCCAGGGCTCTAACGTGTTTGTTAATTAATCATCGTTTCGAGTTTATTGGCTCAGAATATTAATTACAACAATTATGCTTACAATGTTAAGCTTACCTTTAACAAGTGCTCATCATAGCCACTCGAAAAATATGTAAAGATAAATTTAGAATTTTGAATAACCTATCAAAATGCGAATAAGCCTAATTAATTAGAAACTGAACTAAAACGTGATTCGGTCGTTATACTTGGTAATCACCAAAGTAAACTTGTCGGGAAAATTAGACTCGGTCGATCACCAGAGTCGATACGGGGTTTTTAAACCAAATTTACGTAGGACGGTCCGGGGTAACGGGGTAAGTCGTACGTAAACCGTTCCGGCAACTTAACTGATTTCCGAAGCTGGTTTAAGACAAAAGATAGTGTGCTCGTACGTGAAAAGCGTGCGGGGTGCGCGCGACTGCGGCACAGTAAAATAAAAATAATAAAACTTCTCTAAAAATGATATTAAAAAAAATAAATTCGGTAGCACACTAACCTGATGACTTATGATTATACCAGGAACGGGGGAAATCTTTAATTGACCAGAATTTAGGAGGTTATAGACTGTTGGATTGTCTCCAAACAGCAAGCGTACTAACGGTTCGGTAGCGGGTGGACGACTGACCATGAGGTCCGCTCTTCTGGTCCTTCTTCGCCATCGCCCCTGGCGGCGGGGTAGGTAACTAGCGTCATCCCCTCTACGATGACGTAGGACCCTTGTCCCTACGATGCCGCTGACAACGCGGGCGCGGCTTACCCCGAACGTAGAAAATTATAATATTTAAAATGAAACTTTTTAAAATCGGGTTTTTACCCCTTGACGGGTTTTGGGTCGTTACACCCCCTTCTTACTTCGCAGAGAAAAAAAAGAAAAACGGGAAAAAAGAAAAAAAAGAATACCCAAACCTAGGGTATTGTCGGCATCTGCCGCGAAGCTCACTCGAGCGTAAACATAACAAAATTGAGACTCGTCTTAAAATGGGCACGTCGCCTCAATATATGTCCTTCATCGTACGCAGTTTCTTCGTCCGGACTCGGAAAAACGTTCCATCTCCCCTGAACACCTTCATCCTCTGATTTTTCCTTCGCCGCCTCGTGTCTTCCAACGGCAAATTGGACAGGAGGTCGCGCACCTCCTGTGGCACTGGCCGGCTAGACGATGCGGTGGAGAGCGGTGTGTGAGGCGTATCGGTGGGAGCATTGCGACGGTTGGCTGGGGATACCTCCACCAGCGCGGCCGTTGCAACCGCGGGTCGATGGGGTGGCTCTTCTTCCTCCTCACCTACCAGGTCGGACGTGACCTTCTTGAGGAGCGCGAAATCGTTGGCTAGACACGTCTCCAGTCGCTTGCTCTGGTCATTTGACAGCCTACTCACTGCAGCTATGTCGTTGGCGGGATATTAAGAGTGCGTGGAGGATCAACGGTCCGGTAGGGTTCGGTACGGGTAATTGCGGAGAATGGCGATCGCCAAAAATCCACAAAACTCTTCCTAAGTTCCTCAGCCGTACCTGCCGTAGAAAGGCCGTATTTACTCATCTCGTTCTGCAGCTCCTCTTTGCTCAGTCTATAAATCCACCCGACGCGCGGATCGTCAAACGGTGTGCGCGGCACGGACGATTCCGTAGACCCACGGGTGGTAACAGCAGTAGCAGCGGTGGTTGCTGTAGCGACATACGTTGAAGTGGTGACGGCAGTTGTAGTGGTAACGGTGGGAGCGGTAGTAACAGCGGGAGCGGTTGTGACGGCGGGAGCGGTTGTGACGGCGGGAGCGGTTGTGACGGCGGGAGCGGTTGTGACGGCGGGAGCGGTAGCAGTTGGCGGTGGGTCATTGTTTTTGCGCGGGGGCCTTTTCCCCGATTCATCTGGAGTCAGCATATACATAACTGGGAAAAGATAAGTCCAAAGGCGCAAAAATAATTCCCAAGGTGTCATTTTTAAATTATTACTAGGAAATACAACAGTCGACGATAATGGTTGTTGTCGAACAAATACGTAAAAGACTGTGTAACTGTCGTAAGGCTCGTCGCTAATCGCAAATGTTCAGTATAATATTCAAACCACAGATACAATACCCCTACAATCAATGTTTACAATCGAAAAAAGTAATCAAAGTTCCGATAATACGTTAGCCTAATGGTCGTTGTGAACTAATTGTTACTGAGCAATACAATAATATGTTAACCAACAATATTATTATATCACTAACGTATACGTAAACCGTCGTAATTAGGCTCAATCCAAAATATAATAATCCTATATTATTATATTAAACAATGTTATTTCCTGTGTGTAACAATATTAAATGTATTACAATAAAACTGGGGTATCCTAATTGCTGTTAAATATTAGGACAACCAGAAGTATAACAATATGTTAATCAACAATATTATTATAAAACAGTTCTGATCCCAAATATTTAAAGCGCGTCAGTTTCGTTATAAATATTACGCAATGCAATGGATGTAAATATTTTCAGAAATAAGCCCACTAGAATTGAAAGAACTACGGGGAAACTCCAATAACAAACCGTTATCAAACAGCTGATCGGGCCGATCTTATCTCTTGCCCATTCATACAGAGAACAATAGGCAAGCGCAACACTAGTGAACTAACAGGTCGACTAGCCTTCTTGATGCAGAACAATTCTTACAGAATACTCTGAATTAAATCGAAAGGCAGTGTGAATTATTTCCTACTTAAATAATTATAAAAGAATAACAATAAATTATCAGAGGAAATCTATAAACGCTGGTATAAATAAGTGCGATGTATAAACGGTTATGTTCGAATTCAATTAAATTCCAATAAATATTCTGTAATTCTATTAAACAAACGTAGTACGTTAAACAACAGTACTGACGTTTAATCGTATTTAGTTCTACGGTATACAACCAATATTCCACTGTAACGTCTCGTACACAACCCTGATTAAGGTAATGTTCGTATGTGTAGTATTTATTAAATTCTGAGCCAAAACAATTAATTATCGACTATGCCTTCGGGCGCCATAAAATATCGTTAACATTCAATAGTCCCTGTTCGGGCGCCATTTGATATGACGAAATTTCGGGTTGAGAGACAAAATTGAGATTTTAAAGTACGTGTTTGTCGTCTCACCTGAAATTCTGTCACACCTTAAATGTGTCCAGATAGCTTAGCCTACAATGAGATAGTCCAGGGCTCTAACGTGTTTGTTAATTAATCATCGTTTCGAGTTTATTGGCTCAGAATATTAATTACAACAATTATGCTTACAATGTTAAGCTTACCTTTAACAAGTGCTCATCATAGCCACTCGAAAAATATGTAAAGATAAATTTAGAATTTTGAATAACCTATCAAAATGCGAATAAGCCTAATTAATTAGAAACTGAACTAAAACGTGATTCGGTCGTTATACTTGGTAATCACCAAAGTAAACTTGTCGGGAAAATTAGACTCGGTCGATCACCAGAGTCGATACGGGGTTTTTAAACCAAATTTACGTAGGACGGTCCGGGGTAACGGGGTAAGTCGTACGTAAACCGTTCCGGCAACTTAACTGATTTCCGAAGCTGGTTTAAGACAAAAGATAGTGTGCTCGTACGTGAAAAGCGTGCGGGGTGCGCGCGACTGCGGCACAGTAAAATAAAAATAATAAAACTTCTCTAAAAATGATATTAAAAAAAATAAATTCGGTAGCACACTAACCTGATGACTTATGATTATACCAGGAACGGGGGAAATCTTTAATTGACCAGAATTTAGGAGGTTATAGACTGTTGGATTGTCTCCAAACAGCAAGCGTACTAACGGTTCGGTAGCGGGTGGACGACTGACCATGAGGTCCGCTCTTCTGGTCCTTCTTCGCCATCGCCCCTGGCGGCGGGGTAGGTAACTAGCGTCATCCCCTCTACGATGACGTAGGACCCTTGTCCCTACGATGCCGCTGACAACGCGGGCGCGGCTTACCCCGAACGTAGAAAATTATAATATTTAAAATGAAACTTTTTAAAATCGGGTTTTTACCCCTTGACGGGTTTTGGGTCGTTACAATAGATCCCCAGATACCCCTGGCGGGCTCGGACCCAGCACCCGATCTACTTCGTTTGCCCGTCAGACCCAACATCACTGCCAGGCCATCAGGGTTTCCCAAAAGGAGGCAGGTATAGAAGTGGGACCCACCCGGATGAACCTATCCACCAGAGGTGGCGACACCCTTGACTCAATTGAGGTTCCGGGAAGAACCCCCCACACTCAAGATAACCATACCGTCCGTGCTCAGAGACAGGGATAGGTTTGCATAAGTACCTACAAACCGTTGCCCTCACACTGCGGAAAGTTACGTTGCCCTTGAGTGTCCCCGTGAGCTGCGGGTACTTGCCCGTTTTCACCTCCAGGAAAGGTTACTTCCAAAGTCGAGGATCTGCCCACTGAATGCTGGTCGCACACAACAAGCAGGCCGAAGCCCAAAGAACCACAGACACAGGTAGGTTAGAGATTATGATGTACTTCCATCTCTCCTAGAGCTAAACACCCCTCCATCCTGGATAAAGGAATGTCACTGGGACCCGATGCCCAGTCGACCATGTCTGTGGCCAACTTGAAAATGCCGATACCAACACGGAGCATTTACCTCCCCTCTGGGGGCTAGGTATTTCACCTCCCAGGACGAGGCTACTTCCAAAGTCGAGGATATGCCTCACAAAATGTCAGTCGAACACAGCAGGTAGGACTCAGTCACAACCACAGTTACAGGTAGGTGAGGAGAGGCGGAATTAACGGCATCACTGAGAGCTAAACACCCCCCCCCACCCTGAATGGAGGGAATGTCACTGGAGGCTCCCCCTAAGGGGCTGGCGCTTACCAGTCGTCCATAACTGTGGTCTACCTGAAGTGCCGGGTCTGACACCGGGCAGTTACCTCCCCTCTGGGAGAGCTAGGGTCCGCGTGGTCGCCCAGGCCACGAACCCACGCAAGCGTGAGCCCCCTGCGGTTCGGCGACCCGGGATGAGGGGAACGATCCCAGACATAACCCTCGCATCTGAGTCTCTTCTGCCAAGGATCACAGCCTGGAGAGTCTTGGAGGATTATACGGCCAGCGACCATCAATACATTATTTTCAATGTCTTAGATCGCATCCCGAGACAAGTTGCTGCATCTCGGGAAGTGCCCGTTCGGTGGAACACCAAAAAACTGGACGTGGCTAAATTCACCGAGGCCATCCTGCGGGGAGTGCCAGCGGTGCCTGCCGCACCTGGCATGGCTCATGCAGAGGCTATAGTTACATCGATGATGGGGCTGATTGCCTCGGCTTGTGATGAGTCAATGCCCCGCAAGAGACTCCGTTGCGATAGGAGACCCGAATACTGGTGGACTGCAGAGATCGCGGATTTGCGCCGAGCTGCTTTGAGAGCTAGACGACTCGCTACCAGGGCCAGGGTACCCTTGGATAGACGCCGTAAGCTGGAGAGCTACAAGGTGGCGAGGAAGTCTCTCCGCCGGGCCATCAACCGGAGCAAACACAATTGCTGGAAAACACTAAGGGATGATGTCGATTCCGACCCGTGGGGCCTGGGTTACAAACTAGTAACCCAAAAACTCACCACTCGCTCTCCACCTTCCGTCATGGAGGGGGCCGCTATGGAGAGGGTCGTCAAATCCCTTTTTCCGGATCATATTCTGCGCCCACTGCGTGAGTTTGAGATGATGGACGATGTCCCACTCTTCACTCATGAGGATCTGGAGACTGCCGTTTTATCCCTAAAAAACAACAAGGCTCCTGGACCTGATGGGGTACCTGGCGAGGCTCTTAAGAAGGTTTTTTCAATCAATCCCCTGATTCTACTGAGCATGTACAACGCCTGCCTAGCAGAGGGGGTATTTCCGTTGTGCTGGAAAAAAGCTAGGCTCGTGCTCGTAGGGAAGGGGAAAGGAGACCCAGAATTGCCGTCCTCTTACAGACCCCTTTGCATGTTGGATACGGCTGGGAAAGTCCTAGAGAAGTTGATCCGTTCCCGACTGAATTCAGCCGTTGTTGCTGCGGGGGACCTGAGCCCTCGCCAATACGGCTTCAGGAAGGGGCGATCAACGGTCGACGCTATTGAGGAGGTGAAGCAAGCCGTGATGAGAGCTGAGGATTTTAATCACTACTCTCGTAGGGTTGTGCTGCTCGTTACACTCGATGTGCGAAACGCATTTAATTCTGCAAGATGGTGCGATATGCTGGACGCTCTGGAGAACAACTTCCACGTCCCGGCATACCTCATGCGCATTATAGAGGATTACCTCCGGTTCATGTATGATACTACAGAAGGCCCGCGGACGATGAGTGTCACTTCTGGTGCTGCCCAAGGTTCCATACTCGGCCCGGACCTCTGGAACGTTGCCTACGACAGCCTCCTTAGGTCTGAAATGCCTGAAGAAACCGTTTTAGTTGGGTACGCAGATGACATTGCAGCTTTAATAGCTGCTCGTAGTGTTGAGCTGGCCCAGCTAAAATTAAACCGAGTCATGCGAACTATAAACGCATGGATGGCAGATCACGGTCTCTCACTCGCGCTGAACAAAACTGAGATCGTGATTCTGACCAAAAAGTGGATTGACACCATTGTGCCGTTGAGGGTGGGGGACGTCGAAGTCCAGTCCGTTCGTGCCACCAAGTATCTTGGTGTCATGGTGGACTCTAAGCTTAGCTGGCGGGACCAGATATTCCGAACGGCGGACAAGGCCGCTAAGGTGATCTCTTCTCTTAGCCGGTTAATGGCCAATGTCGGAGGTCCTCGTTCCAGTCGCAGAAGGCTGTTGATGTCTACAGTTCAGTCTGTGCTCCTGTATGGTGCGGAGGTGTGGGCAGACGCGCTCAATAAGGAGGTGTATAGGATGCGGCTTGCCAGAGTGCAGCGTCAGGCAGCACTCAGGGTAGCATCCGCCTACCGAACAGTGTCTGAACCTGCCATCTTGGTGGTTGCTGGAGTAATCCCCGTCAAACTTTTGGCGGCGGAGAGGAAAGCGATTTATCAGCGGCGTGAAGAGGACCATGCAAAAATGGAGGAGCGCAACCGCACCTACCAGCTCTGGCAGGAGAGCTGGGAACAGGAGTCGCGGGGACGCTGGACCAGGAGACTGATTCAGCAAGTCCAACCATGGGTTGACCGACGGTATGGTGAGGTGGACTATTACCTTACCCAGTTTCTGACAAGTCACGGATTTTTTCGGTCGTACCTGTTCAGGATGGGCAAAGCCGTGTCACCCGATTGCATCTACTGCCCAGGCACTCCCGACGACGCGGAGCACACCTTCTTCCGCTGCCAGCGTTGGGAAGGTTCCCGCCTGGAGGCTGAACAACATGTAGGGCAGTTGTTGGTGGACACGGTCATTCCGATGATGACGGAGGGTGAGGACAATTGGACCTGTATGTCACATTTCGTCCAGGATATTCTCCGCACAAAGAAGCTAGAGCTTGACCGAGATGCGGTCTAGGTCATAAAGAAATTGAATGCCAGAAACGGCGCGAGCCCTGAGGGCTTAGGTCACACGTTGACCTGACCTGAAGTAATGTGACAAACAATCCCAGGTCTGTGTCCAACAGAGTAGAGGGGGTTTTTTAGTGAGTAGTCTGACAAGCTCAGGAGTCTCACACTACAGGCTGGCTACCTGTGTGCGTAAAAGCATAAAAAAAAAAAATGTATGAAGGTAGGTAGTCAATTTAACTTACTACTAGTTAAAACTACTAATTAGTTTTTTTTTTAAATTGGCCTATGTAATAACTTGATAATTCCTTAGGAAAGTGGGAGGGGGGCAACCGCCCCCCCTGCCCCCCCCCCATAAACGCCGCCTCTGCCAGAGGTGGCAGAAGGTCGCCAATTCCCCACACATTCGCTAACGGGTTGTTAGGCGGTTAGCCTAGAATCAGCTCGAAAGAGCCGCCTTGTGACTCTCATGGTGAGCAGTATTGAAAGCAAGTTGCATCCGATTCTACGTTTTTTTCATAGCAGGCTAAACATAAAAAGCCAGTCACCTTTTGAAGCACCGCTTCTACCCCGCTTTGATTATCACCTTAAATATGTGGCCAGGACTGCGTCGGGGACATTTCCACGAGTTCAAATGCCAACTTGGCCCTGACGTGTGACAGAGTCCAGCGCCGACACATCTGCGTTTGAAATTTCCAGTAGGACGAGTAGTTGATTCTCTTTCCTCCAATGAACTTTACGACAGTTCTCATGTATCTGAAATAATTATATAATATGCTGTAACACTCATATAAGAGGGTCAGAATCAGATTGGTCTAAGTAATGCAACATGAATTTTTCAGTATTTAAGGGTTTATTAAAATAGCTCTCAAAAATCAAGTTTAATTTCTTTTTCATACAATATTCCTAAGTTATGAACTAAGTACGTACTGCAAATATTTATGATAGATTTTCATGTTTTTAACAATAGGGGATGTTTTATTGATGGGGTTGAGGACTTAGCCCACTTTGATTCTGAGCTATTCTGTGGGTAGATTACTTTATACACAAGTATAAGTCAATGGTTAAGTGATTGACCATAATTTTATTTATAAGAAAAAAAAACATCTTCTGCATTCGACAATGAGTAAGTGGTTCAAGCCATCGGTATTTATTTATCGATGGTGCAAGCTTATGTTTCTTCTTCTTCTTCTTCGACTAGCGGGTTTTCTTCATCAATCTCCTCATCCCCTTCGATACGAAGCCAGTGTCTGGTACATCCTGAGAACTGCGAATGTTCCTAAAGTAGGTGAGGTACACTGGAGGAATAAATTTGAGCAAGAATAGCATATCTCGCTTCTTCAAATAGTGTAATACTCTTGGTTCATTGTAAAGTAGAGGTTGTTCTGGAAATTATGTCCTT